TAATAATGATAATGATAATAATTTAGATCCGTGAAATTCCAAGACCTTTAATAATAATAATAATTATTATTATTTAATTATTTTTCATTGAAATTTAATAGCGAAAACGATCGATTTAATTACGATAACATTCTTTTTTTTTTTTAACGTAATAATAATAATAATAATGATAAACGTGTCAGAAGAAATTATTATTATTATTTCAATCTCTCTCTCTTTCTACTTTTTTTTTCATTTATTAACTCGTAATTGATAATAAAAAAAAATAAAGAATGAAAGAATAAAAGAAAAGAGAAGAAAGAAAAAACGTTTCCATGATTTTGCATAACAGAAAAAAAAAAAAAAGAATAGGAAGAGGAAGAAGAGGAGGAGGAGGAGGAGAAGGAGGGGAGGGCATGGAAAACTCACCGCCATCTTTTTATTTTTTTTTTCTCGTTGTTTTTGGCATTTCACGAATTTAAATTCGTTGCCGGAAGTGATGAAAAAAAAAAAAAAACAAAAACAAATTTATTTTGACGTTTTTCTTCTTTTTTTTTTTAAATTATAGAATTTCACGTTCTTGGTCGAGGAGGGATGGGGAGCCGAGGTGGTGGTGGTAGTTGGAAGAATGTAAGGAAAAATTAAATTTTTTTCCACGAGAAAAAGAAAGAGGGGAGGGGAGAAGAAAGAGAGAGAGAAAGCGTTTGACGCAATTAATTCGCTTTCTTTCAATTATTTATTTATTATTTTTATATTAATACATAATCATTATTCGTTATCGTTTATCATCATCATCATCATCATTATTATTATTATTATCCACCATTAAACACGACAAGGCTACTTGTCGGAGTTTTTAAGTATTTATCCGAGGTTTCTACCCGATTCCTTAGGGACAAATACTCGAATTTCGGTGGTGCCACTTATTATAAGATAGCACCACATCAATTCTTGAAGGTCTTCCTGAGTCCGTCTTTTTCGATGGGAACGATTTGTCTCCTGAACTGGGCTCCGGTGACTAACATCTTTGGAGTGGCCAGGGTCAGAAGCAGTGAAATTCACGTTCTCGTCGAGCTGCCTCAGGTCGACAGTAGAACAAGATTTTGTTTTTGGTTCTTACTTTGTCTTGTTCTCATTTTTTTTTTTTTTTGCTCTTTTTAAGCCAACAGCACGTGGCGTTCTCAAACGGTCACCCATCCAAGTTTGCACCACGCCCGATGCTGCTTAACTTCGGTGATCGTACGGGAACCGGTGTGACCAGCACGCTATGGCCGTTGGCTTTTATTATTATTATTATTATTATCATTATTATTATTATTATTATTATTATTGCGTAAAAACAATTTATATATACATTTCGAGTATAATTATAAAGTTTCGAATAAATTTTTTTTATAAATAGCAAAGAAAAAGAAAGAAAGAAAAAAACTAATTTAAATATTCAACGCGTTATTATTATTATTAATATTATTATTATTATTTAATGAAATTTATATAAAATCGCGGGGGGTGGCATTTATAATATTTTCTTCATTATTTAATAGAAAAAGAAATGAATGAATGAATGATTTTGACATTTTATATCAACTTTTATGACGTTACATTTACCATACAATTTCCACTGTGTTGTTGTTATTATTATTATTATTATTATTATTATTATTATTATTATTATTATTACATTACGATATTTTAATATTAATAATAATAATAATACTAACTTTTTTTCTCTTTTTCGTTTGGGGGGAATTGAAAACTTTTTTTCAAAAAATAAATTGAATAATTATATTTTAACATGCCCCCCTATTTTCTCTCTCTCTCTCTCTCGTTTTATTTTATTTTGTTCTATCTCTTTCTCGTGTTTTTCTTTCTTTTTCTGTCTTATTTCCCCTCTTGTCTTTCGTTCTCTCTCTCTTGTTTTACTTTATTTTTTTCCCCTCTCTCTTTCTCTCTATTTTTCTCTTTCTGCTTTATTTTGTTTCCTCTCTCTCTCTCGCTCTCTCTCTTTCATTTCACCTTCTATTCCTACGCTTCCTCATTTTTCCACCTTCCTTCCCCCATTATTTATTTATTTTTAACTGCGTGAGAAAGATTCGAAATAATTTTTGGCCGCCGGAAACGGAAAAAAGATCGAATCAAAAGAGGAAAAGGAAGAGAGGGGGAGAGAGAGAAAAAGAAATGAAAATAAGAAATTATAAAGAAAATGGAAAAATTGAATTTTTTCTTTCATTTTTTGGCAACGTTAAACGTTTGTTTGTTGTTTTATTTATCGGATCGTAAAAGTTTAAAAAAATTTTTCCGAGAGTTTTCCCCGCCTCACCTACCCCTCCTCCACCCCATCTCACCGACAAGTGAAAAATTTTATTAAAAAGGTTAACGAGGGAATTTTGTCGTCGTCATCCTTCCCTCCCCCCCACCACTCTTACGCTGGTCGTCGGCCATTTTTTTTTTGTTTATAATTCTATTAACGAATGCCTTTTAAAAAAACACGTTTCTCTACCTATTCAACCTTTTTTCTTTCCCCTTTTTTTTGTTTGTTTGTTCGTTTGTTTGTTTGTTTGTTTGCAGGATTTTAAATCTCGGGGAAAAAAAAAAATTTTAATGCGATTTTTACTTTTAATTTTAAAAATTAAATTTATAAATCGTGTAAACGAATTTCAACGATTTTTTTTGCTGTTGATTCTTTTGTTTCCTTTTCATTAATAATAAAAAAAAAAAAACATGAAAAGTGAAATGAAATTTAGGGGGGGCAAGAGGAGGAAAAAAGGGGGAAGTAGAATAAGAGTGGAAAAGAAATGGGGGGTGGGAAAAAAGAAAAATGAATGAAAGAATGTTTGTTTGTTTGTTCGGTGAGGGTTCTCCCGTTTTTTTTTTCGAGTGCATTAAAAAGGAAAATTTCATTTTTTTTCGGGGGGGCGGAGGGGGGTTTAGAAAAATCTCTGACATGAGACGACACGACAAAACCACATGGTAGAAGGTTTTTCATTCGTTCACCCTTGGGATTTAAGGGTAGGTGAAAAAAAAAAAAAGGAAAACAACGAGAAAAATAAGAAATTTCTTCGCCATTTTTTTTTTTTTTTTAATTTTTGTCCCTATCCCGATTATTTTCCCTTTTCTCTCTCTCTCTCTCTCTCTCTCTCTCTTTTTTCCCCCCTCTCCCTCTCTCTTTCTTTCCAGAAAAAAAATATTTTCTGACAAATTTATAAATTTACCCGAGTTTAATTTTTTTTTTCCCGGCACGAAAGATCGATGAAAAATATACAATTAAACGTTCGAAATAAGAGAAAAAGGTTGCTTGGGCGTGTATGTGTGTGAGAGAGAGAGAGAGAAGGCGAAAAGGGGGAGGTCCCCCCCGAAATAATTCATAATCAACAAATTTAATTTTTTTTTTTTGGGAGGAAATGTGTTAAAAAATCAAAATTTTCACTGTTTTTCTCTCCCTTTTTTTTGCTTGTTCCTTTTTCTCTTTCTCTCTTTCCTTTTCCTTTTTTGTTTTCCTTTTCAGTAAATTAAATTAAATTTAAATTTAAAATTGATGATGATAATAATAATAATTGTGTGAATGTTTAACGAAGTAAAAATTTCCGAAGGAAAAATGATAAAATAATAATAATAATTTTTTTATTTTTTTTTTAATTAAATGAAAATAATTTTTAGGAAGCGAAAACGAAAAAAAGGGAAATTTTTCTTGACGTAATTTTTTAACGTGGAATTAGGGGGGGAAAATTTTAAATTTACTAAATGAATATCTCGTGCGTGTGCGTATGCGTGGGTACGCGTGTTTTCCGGGGAAAAAAAAGAAAAAAACAAAAACCTGAAGAAAATAAAAAGGTTTTCTTTTTGACATTGTCGAAATTATATACGAAACGTAAAAAAAAGGGGGGAGGGGATTTTTCAAAAGGAGCGAGAGAGAAAGAAAAGGGATTCGAAAACGAATGAAAAAAGGAGGGAATTTTTTTTTTTTTAACTTTTAATTAAATTTTTACTTCCCCCTCCGTCTCTTCCCCGTCCTCCCTTTCAACCGTCACCGTCCCTTCTCCTTCTCCCTTTCCCCCCCGTTACGAATACGAATAAAAGAAAGAATGAAAGAAAAAAAATAAATAATAATAATAATGATTTCGAAAATTAATACTTATTTATTATAAACGAAATTAAAAAGAAAAAAACAAACGTGGAAGCAGATAGAAAAAAAAATTTTTTTTTCTTTTTCTTTTCTCTTCTCTCTCTCTTTCTATTTTTTTTTTCATATTAATTAGCTTTTAAAAAAATTTTTTTTCTTTTTTTTTTTCTTGTTTGTTTCCAATATAATAATAATAATAATAATAATAATAATAATAGTAATAATAATGATAATGATAATAAGAAAAGAAAATGTTATTTGAAAAAAAAAAAAGAGAAAAGAAAAAAAAGAAGAAATACAAACATTTTATTAAACGATGTTTGTTAATAACAACAATCTGATTCCACGTTTTTTCATTTCTTTCTTTCTCTCTCTCTTTCTCCCTACCTCTCCCTTCTCTCTCTCTCTTTCTCTTACGCACCCTCCTCCTCTTTAATAATAAATCTCTTTTTTATATTTGATACCGGACGATTTTTAATATTTTTTTTTTCATCCCTTTGGATATCAAAAACATAACACATAGCAGGGAGATGATGATAAATCGGGAGTATTAAGGGAGAAGGGGGAAATTATAAATGTAAAAAAATATAATAATAATAAGAAAAAGAGAGAAAGAGAGAGAGAGAGAAACGAAAATATTTTTGCAAAAAAAAAAAAAAAGTTCATCTGGGGATCATGTCATCATTTTTATGTATAAAATGCAAATAAGATAATCTCATTACGATCCTCGATACTCGAGGGGATTTTTTTCATTTTTTTATTAGTTTTAGTTGGTTATTCTATTCTTTCGTACGTTTGGGGATTTACGACGACACGCCAGGATGATGATAATGATAATAACGCGTTGTTTTTAATTATAAACTCATTAATATTATTATTATTGTTGTTGTTTCAGAGTGCTATGACGTCCGCATCGAAATCATTATTCTCATCCCTCGACGGGAGAGCTTATTTCCGTGAGATATCAATCAATTTACCCGATCATTGGTCTGACAGTTGCGTGAACGGCCCTATAGTAGCATCGAAAGGTGAAGAATTCGATTTCGTCGTAGGAAGAAGTCATCCGGTTTACGGCGACGTTATTTGGACTCAACAAAGTCGATCATGTGGCGAATCCGGGGATTTCATTTATCTCAGCGATAAATTGTTACGAGAAATGACGGACGACGTGGGACAAGATTTGGTTCGCGAATGGGGAAAATACAGATTTGGAATTTACGACGAAATAGGATACGATAACGATCCCGTGTATCCTCAGTGCTTTCACGGAATCAACGAAAAACCTCAAGTCACGGGTTGTTCTGACAAACCCATTAACAACGTTTGTTCGACGGGTGACCTAATCGGAAGTTACAACACTTCGAGACTCGTACATCCGGATGCGACGAAAAGTATTTTATTTGCTGCCACGTCGAAAGTGAATAAATTTTGCGATGAGAAAACCCACGACGCATTCGCACCCACAAAGCAAAATTTAATATGCCACAGAAAAAGTGCCATGGAAGTCATTTTGAGTCATTCGGATTTTCGAAACAGGTAACGCCGACGATGATAATAATAATCATTATTATTATTACTATTTTCCCTTTTTGGGTTTTGTTTTAATGGTTTCTTTTTTTTTCTCTTTTTTCCTCTTCTTCCCTTTTGGATGATAAGAGCCAGCTTCTCGATACGCTGGAGAAACATTTGGGATACTCGGTAAATTAAAAAAAAAAAAAAAAACCTGTGTTATTATTATTATTATTATTATCGATTAACAAACGTATGCCTACTGCTACTCTTCGTCGTACCTGCACTTTAATCATTGTAAATAAATTTAGACGTACAACAGCTAAATACGCACAACCTTTGACCTTTTCTCTCTCTCCCCCTCTGTCTTTTGCTTTCATTCGTAGGCTAAATATGCACAATACGTGAAATTATTATTATTATTATTGTATTTAAACGATGAAATTTTTTCCAGGCATTTTGAAATATTCGACGGTACATACACGAACACGTCGCCGACTTTTAAATACACAAGAAAACAATTGACGAGATACGTTCTCGTCGTCGAAAACACCAAAGACATGCTCGTGAGAGAATCGTGGTCCTTTCTAAGAGCTGCCATACGGAAGTGGACGGTTCACGATCTTCCGGTTAACACGGAAGTCGGTTTTGTCTTAACGAACGAAACGTCAGCCGTTAAAGTTCACGACCTTCATTTGTTGAACGGTGCAAATGCGAGAGATTCCGTTGCGTCGGACGTTCCCTTCACTCCAGGTGATTCCAGAATGCCGGCGTGCATACATTGCGCTTTACAAGAAGCCATAGAGGTGTGTAAACATTACTTCCGGTACTTCGAAATCAAAAGGATTTGATTGTGACGTGTAAGTGTTTTGTTTTGTTTTTCAGATGTTGGATTCTGCGAAAAGAACAAACGGTCCGGCATCATCCGTCATACTCATTATATCACCAGGTGTTGAAAAATTGAGCTCCCTCGAAGACATGGTGGAAAGAGCAAGAAAATCACAGATAAAAATAGCAACGATAAATTATCCAGGAGTATTGAGAACTAATTCTTTGGACCTACTATCATCCGCCACGGGTGAGCGAACGCTTTTGGTTGTTATTGACGTCACCACCGTCACCGTCGACATATTTTAATTTTGTTTTGTTTTAGGCGGTTTATCGTTCACTGTGAATGAAAGGAAGCATAATTTAGTTAACTCGTTACTCACGACTTATTTCGATTTGACGAACGCCCTTTTTTCGATAACGACAAAATATTTTCAAGGAAATCCGGACAGTTTACCGATCGAGGTAGGTCCCCTCCCCCTTTCCTCCGCCCGGTTGTCTCCATTGTTAAATTGCATTACATTTCCTGTCGTCTTTTTGCAGATTCACAGGAGAGAATTAACAGACGATGGTCGATCGACGATAACGGGTAGTTTTTTCCTGGAAGAATCACTCGGAGAACCTGCCGAATTCGTCGTATACACACATTCCATTGATAATCCTTTGCTCGGAGCCATACAATTAGTGAGTCCATCGCAAAAAGTTTACACCGGAAGAACGGATTCGTTTTTACAATTTAAACTCATGAAAGTTGTCACCAACATCAACGAGGTAATTTTAATTTTATCTTTTTTTTTTTTTCTTTTTCCACGTTCGAACGTGACCATAATTAACACTTATGCGATTGATCGCTTCCAGACGGGTCCCTGGACGTACACGATAGAAAGATTTAGAAATCCACAACCGCATTTCGTACAAGTGATGGCATCTCCGAAATCACCCATAGCTCCAGTCGTACGCACGAGATTTTGGACGAATTTAGAATCGAATTATTTATCGGGAATCGGAGGGGATGTGAGAAACAAAAGAGACGTTCTTACGGATATAGAAGACGCGGAAAACGAAGATTGGTCTTCGCAAACGTCTTTTCCAAACGTCGTCAATCAACCCATCGGAAGGAGTTACGAATCCGAGTCTGGAAGACAAGAACCGGAAAACTCGTTGAAAACGACGAGGAGTTTTTCAGAAAATGTCAACACGAATAACGACGGAGATTTGAAAAATGTCAAAACGGAAGAGTACAAAAGGAGTTCCGGTTATAGGATAACTTTGGACGATTTGAAAAAAAGTCAAGAATCCGGAAGGAGTAAAAATATACTTTTGAAAACGTCCGTCATGAAACCCGTGATCTTATACGTCGAAGTCAAAAGCGGTATGTGGCCAGTGAGAGGAGCAAGAGTCGAAGTGACGGTTACAAAAAGGGCTGGCAACGATACGAATAAATATAAGGAAAAATTTGAACTTTTGGATACCGGAAGTGGAGGCAAGTTCATTCATTCAAGCAGTACCGTGAGCTTTTCAGTAGTAGTGGTAATTTCTAATGACACGTATTAATATCATTTTAACAGATCCTGACTTGATGAAAGGAGATGGTATATATTCGAAATACTGGAGTCCGGTTAACGGAGGCAAAGGAAGTTACACGATCGAAATTGCCGTGACAGATAATGGCAACACCGCATATTCGTGGAACGAAGGATTTTTCATACCGCAAAATGGTAAACCTCTCAAACAATTTAATTAATAATTTTTAATTAGATTAATTACGAAAAGTTAATATTATTATTATTATTTTACAGACGTCACTTGTTGCGGTAGTCAAATGACGTCACCTTCGGTTAGACCGCTGTCGCCGTTTCAAAGATATCTTCCTCCTTTAACAATAACGGTTACCGAAGAGGATATAAATAACATTCAAGCGACATCTGTCGGAAGAGTCGCCGACATGGTTGTAGAGGTAAGTGGTCCCCCACCTATCCTCTTCCACTTTTGATTTCATCATCGTTTTGCTAATTTTTATCGTTTTTTGCCCCCCTTCATCAGCATATACCATCGGAATTGAAAGCTCGACTGTTGTGGACCGCGCCCGACATGGGTGGTTTGGACGTTGCAAGATACGCTCTTCATTACACTCCGTCGTTGGAAACTTTATTGTCCGATCCGCAATCTACTCCCATTTGGAGACATGGAACGCCGTTTCCGTTGGCAGCCGGAAGCGAAACATCTTTCACTTTGGATTTTTCACGGGAGAAAAATCTTTTGGACAATCCTTTGTATTTTGCGCTGTTGGCGTATAGTTCCCCTCACGAGAGTTCCATTCCCGGACCTTTGAGTAATTACGTCAGAGTACTCCTATCAGCTCCGCCTCCTCCGCCGCCATCTCCCTTGCCAACGGATTATTCCATTACTCGCTGGCTTCATAAGGCTCAACAGGAATCCGAACAGGAAGTCGTACCCAAAGTTGCTCACGCGGATTTCAGACTCGAATTGATATTGCCCATCGTTGGTGGAATATTATTTTTGATTGTTTGCCTGGCCATTTATTGTTACTTTTGCATCGTGAGAAGAAAGCACACGGGCGTCAATAAAGGTAAGTTTTACTAACATAAAATAATATTATAAATTTTATCAGTTGGAAAACGTCTCAAGTTTTTCTTTTCCAAACAGGAAAGCAAACAGTCACGTCAACAAACGAAAAAAACAAACAGACTTCGATAAACATCATTTCCACGCCGACGGCCCTCAACGTCGATAATAAAACGCATTCGACATCGTCGACAACGTCGAGCGACACGTCTCATTCCACTCTGCAACAAGAAAACGCCGGTAACGTTCAATACGATCCGACGGCAGATCCTCCAGCGACTTATCAAACGAGCGAACAGCTACACAAATACGGATGCGTTCCGGATTCGAATCAATATCCGGATCAATTCGTCGACAACGAAAGGCGAAGGTATTCGATGCTTCAAACTCCCGAAGAGGCTTACATCATATCACAGGCGAGAAACATTGGACAACAGAGGCCACCCAGCAACATGAGCATGCTAACCTACAATCAACAACCTCCTGGTTACGTCATAAGTCAAATATCGAACGGTACGACGGGTCGAATCAGAACCATAAGTCCTATACAATCGTGGACGGCGAGTCAACTCCTTCACGAGCACGAAAGGAGAAATTCTCCCTACGGCGAAAAAATAGACTCACTAGATAGAATGGACGACATTAATCGACACAACGGACCACAGTTTCAGTTACCCCCTCCCGTACCTCCTCTACCCGCGGGAGTGTATAACGGTGAACCCAATTATTCTCACGGTCTCTACAACGAAACCGGCGCAGTTCGGAGCAGCGTTACCGGCATTAATCAAAGTCCCAATTACGCCGGATACATAAGGAGTACCATAAATCCCAGTCTTCCCGGTAGTTTGAGTTCTGTCAACAGCGGAGACATTAGGAAGAAAAGAAACGTGACGATGGTCTGAACCGTTTCTCTAGAAGAACCGTAAGAACCAAAGAAAGACACTAATTATGTTTATATTCGACTTCTCCTATAAGGTAAACATTAGTTTTATATGGAACACTACCAAACGCTACCTCTCCTCTCACGTCCGTCGCGTCCGCGAATTATGACGTCATCATTCATGGCAAATGTTTAGTCTTAAAATTATGTTCCTAATTCATAATAATTCGCGTCTCAAAGGAGGGCCGGTGAGGAATGGGTGTGCGGTGTTTAAGGAAACCTTTTTTTTTTTAAAAGGGGGGGGGCGTTCGTTGGGGTAGTACCTACATTTCAGTCAGTCCCCTCTCCGGGAAGCCAGAACGTTACCGTTCTACATGATTACTTTGGTGGGAGATTCGCCCTAGTCTCCGTTCCGCCGTCACCTCGAAGACGAGAACGCATTTCCCAGGACGTTCGGCAAGTCTCTTTCGGGAGTGTCCTCCGGTCCTTCGGTAGGGGGGAAGGGATGGGAAACTCTCCTGTTTCCTGAGGATGCGATCGGGTGGGGGATAAAACGGCTTACCTTCGACTCCTGAAAAGGGCAAAGCTAAAAGTTAAGTGTTAGTTGATCGCATCCTCTAATACTACTAAGGTTTATCGAAATCGTAAGGAAAAGACAGACGAGGGATCGTCCGGGATCGCGAACCCCCAAGAAATGTTAGAAATAAGAAAAATAATTTGACTTACC